AGCCCTTGGCTAGTCAAGAAACTCCCCACCTTTTATGAAGCCTTAATGTTTATACTATTTTAAAACTTTTGAAAACTCATTTAAATGGCACCTTGCCTGCTTTTGAAGTTGTATTTAAATGGCAGTAACCTCACAATATCTTACAGCCATGATATGGCTGTGCTGAACAGAGCATCCACACACATCCGAGAGTGTCAGCTGGCAATGGGTTATATTACTTTACTGTATGCTTTTTAATAGCTTATGACTAGTAAATGTAGCTATAATACTTTAACTGCCTATGTGCATTTGATATAACACATGTTCACTGATAATGGCTCATGTATAGCCACATAATAAAAAGAATACAGTGCTAAATTACTATAGGAAAAATTGCTAGTAATTTAGATCCAAAAACAATAATTCTGAAGACTCTAGAATATGTTGTTGTTATTTTTAGTCACTCCACTTCACTAGAATTTCAGGGATGTAAACAGAATCAACCCAGTTACCACTTCCCTGCACTGTGCGGATTTACATGCAAACACACACAAACATGAAAATAAAGAGGACTGTATGCACCACATTGAAATATTACCTGTCAGGTTAGAAGTAGAACCCTTCTTGCTACGACTAGGGCTCAGAATTCCTTCTTGCATGTCCACCCCACTGCCTACACCACCACTGTCAACATGGATCGTCTTTGGCCGAGGACGAGAGCCTGCAGATGTCTTGTTTCGCATTTTGGGCACTGGCTTATTGGTCGCAAGATCAGCTTTTTCAGGCAGAAGCTTACCCTTAAAAAATAAATACATATGAATATGTTATATATGTAAATCTGACATACCAATCAATGAAAGTGAATATGTGCTTAATGATTAAAATTAATTCACATACTTCTCTCTCTGCCTCTTCAATGGCTTTCTTAAGCTTGTACTGCTCTAAAATGGCAGCTCTACGCAACCTTTCCTCCTCCTTCTTCCGTTCCCTTTCATCCTGCTTCAATTTTTCCAATTCTCTGCGGTGCTGTGCTTCCTGTTCTTTGTGCTGTTTCATCTCTTCTTGCTGCTGACGACGCTGCAGTGACAGCAACATAATTCGCTCTTTCTTTCGCTCCATTTCATCCAACGCATTCTGCAAAATGGACACAGTCACCACACCTCTTGTTTCAAAACCAATGGTTTCTCAATTGTGACAAAACAGGTAATTAAAACACCAGGTGACTTTATTTACAAATTTGTCTTTAAATGCAATACAACTGTTGTTAACAGACATACACAAATATAAACTGAAAGGTTCAAATCTTACAGCGTGTAGAAAGATCCCACTCCCAGAATTAATCAGAACAGAAGAGGACCTAATCTGTGATAGCTGCAGAACTTTTTGTGTGGAACTTCAATGACAAATTTTACTGAGACCTGCACAGTACTTTAGTAGATGAAACTTACAGGCATAAAACCAAATAAACAAGACCTGCTCATTGCAGTAATTTTATTAAAATTTGTGCAAAGAACATGAGGGGAGAAGCAGTACTAATTACAGCACAAAATGTTACTTACAGGATCAGGATTCAGAAGTTCACTTCCAATGACAAGTCCCACGCCTGGAGCTGCAGACGTCTCCACTTCATTATTACGCTGTTCTACTGTCTCTGCTTCTCTTGGTGCAGAGGGTTCCACACGATACTGTCCAGCAAGCCTTGACTCTTCATATTCAGTGGGCTGGTTTTCAAATTGTGATACTGGTCTCTCCTATGGCAATACAAAAAAATATTGCTGTAGTGTTAACTATCTAGAAGAGAAAGGCAGGAGAATAATAAAACTGTTTATGCTAGAGAAGTCATGAAATAATTATCTTCCAGTATGACAGACTGTAATAATAAATATACTTTCTGTGATGGATACAAATTCGTTGTACCATCATACCAAGTAACAGGAGGATGGTAAAAAGTTCCATAATTTGTATCACCACAAAATATTATTAGGGTGACAATATCACAGAAGATGGGAAGGGAAGACATGTAGCAATCATTGGGGAAATGAGAAATGCATTAATCATTTGGTTGGAAAACCTGGGCATAAATGGTTCAGACTGGAACCAAGTGGATCACAATAAGATACTGAACATTTTGGTTCCACAAATGGCAGGAAATTTAGTGACTGGTAAGCAACTACAAACTTCTCAAAATGAACTCTGCTCCATGAACTTTATTTGCTTAACAGCCAGAGGCATTCTGCATGAACACATGGATTTGTTGCTGTTATGACAAAGTATCAAGAAATCAACTATATATAGTCTTGAAAATCCAATAGCTAACTAGCTGGCTTAGGAAACCCAAAGGTTCATCACCGAACTAACAAAAGCACTCCACCGGTCCCTGTCCTAGGCCACCACAATCCAATCGCCTTCAACTCCTATCTCCCATAGATCCTGCTTGATATTATCTTCCCATCTATGTCTAGGTCTCCCCAGAGGTCTCTTCCCCTCAGGCTTCCTGACCAATATCTGGTGCACACCTCTTGCCCCATCCATGCGCACCACAAGCCCTGTCCATCTCATTCTTCTTGACTTAAATCACCCTGACAATATTGGGGAAGGAGTACAAATTTTTAAGCTAATCATTACGCAGTTTTCTCCGTGCCCCATCGTCTGCTATCCTAGGCCAAAATATCCTCCTCAACACCCTATTCTCAAACACTTGCAATCTATGTTCCTCCCTGAGAGTGGGAGACCATGTTTCACACCCATACAAAACAACAGGCAAAATTATTATTTTGTATATTTTAATTATTAGGTTCTTAGAAATCAGAGACGAAGGCAAAATATTCTGAACTGAAAAATAGCAAGCACTTCCAGAATTTAGTCTCCTCCTAACTTCCTCATGAATATCATTCTGATTTGTTATTGTTGTTCCCAAGGTGCAAAAATCGGTTTCTTTACTCTTGCTATTTAGTTAAGCCATGGAAACCTTCTAGCTGTGACTGTGTTTATTGTAAGAAAATTCAAATTCTGTAACCATCAAATCACAAGGTCCATATCTTTCTTAATACATACCTTTTTGGGAGATGACTTCCTCACCCTGAGAGGAGGCTTCGGTCTTTTGGGAGCCACATCACTATCAAAGGATATATAGAAGCCTTTCTCCGTGCCTCCATCAACACTTGGATCCACTTCATTGGCAGAAGGCATGCTGGCCGCATCATCTGATTCCTGTTGCTGGAATGAATTTCTGGACAAAGAGGGCCGGGTGGGTGATGGTATTCTGTATGTTCGACTACCAGATGTGATTTGCAAACCTTTAATGCCCTGAGCTAAATTATGGGTATGATCATCTACCACAGGTGCACCTGAAAATAAGAGACAAATGACTATAAAGAAAATACAGGGCAAAATCCATAAAGCAAAATTTCTAACTGCACATACTTCCAGTCCTACAAATCTTGTATTCAGGTACTGACAAATCATAATATTTTGCATGGTGGTGCTCGTTCCATCGTTATACGTGAGCGTTGCTCAAACGGTGAGGGCAATAATGAAATTTTATCCTGAATGGTAGCAGTGAGCAGAACAGACAACATAAACCATCCACATTTCTGGGACCATCATTGTACAATTTAAGCAATGCCCAGATTTCAAACACTTACCTATAAAAGATATACTCTGAGGCTCCATATCATCCATTGGTGGTGTTGGAATAGGGGCATGTATGACACCAGGACTTCTGCTCTTCTCTGGGGTCATTTCACTCTGTGACTGCTGCTGCTCCAAGCTGTTACGTGGCACACCTCGTTTCACTTCTGGTGACTCTCCCATTAGCTGACTAATCCTGCAGGAAGGAAGGCAGCAAATATCTTAACAAAAGAAAACATCACTTATTATAAAATAAAAGAAAAATTAATACTTGTATATTTGACACACACTGGGCATTCTTAACTCTGCCAGTATGTGAACTGCCCCCGAAGATTGCCAAGCCATTTGGTCTAAAAATACAAAATGTTATTTTCAAGCTACGGGCGTAATCTCTTTGCATATAATAGAGACATCATTCAGCTTCCAAGAAAATTGCATTCATACATAAATTACTAAAAATAAATAATTTTATTATTTTTAGTTAAAATTTTTAAACTTCATATTTTAAATCATATACCCCAAAGACAAGCACTCATGACTGAAGTGAAAGCAGTAAGAAATCACAAAAAAATCATTATCATTCTTCCCTGCGACAAACACGTCTAGAACAACCTGTCAGGTTTACAACCACAAATAGTGTTTAACTTTTGTGAATGTTACTCTATTTTCTTCTGACAACACAATAAGGAATACTTCCTACCATTTAAAGCAAAGACAGTCAACTTAAGTCCATTTATGGCATGCCATGACATCTACTGACCACAATAATATACTACTACAAAAAAAACCATGCTGACTTCTCTGGCTCTGGCAATCTCGATATGAGTAAGGTGCATCAGTCACATCAGGCTGTGGCATTAAGAGGGTTAAATATGACTGATAACATATGGAAGGTGTTCCTGAACATGGAGATAACTCACTTTGAAAAAAAAATTCAGTTTCTGCTAAAAGAATTTTCATATAATTAATTTGGACTATACTAGTCCAACACAATAAAGGAATCTGGAGTTGTAAGGGCTGAAATATGCTATAATTACTTCTTCCATATCCTTCCTAATCCTCAATTCACAATCATCTTTCAGTTACACGTTACATAACACATGCAGTTGTAAACAAACTAACCAATTCACTAAATTCTTGCCCTTACAGTTTCACAGCTGGAGTTCAATGTACAACTCCGGCTTTCGGGGACAAGCTGAGTCAAACGTTGTACTAAAGAAATAAACTAAAAACAGGAGAAAAATAATGACACAAATAATTAGAAACCAAAGGAAAATACTGCTCCCTACAGAACAATCTAACTGCATCACCAACAGCTAAAACAATCCTAAAAACCGAAGAATTTGAAGTTATTTTTAATCTCTAAACGTTTCAAATGAAAACTTACCTATGTACAGTGGAACTTCGATGCTGTGGGGAAGCAGAAGGAGGGGTAGGACCAGCGCTACGAGAACCATACACACCAGCTCCTGCATCAGAGTGAAGTTGGAATGATGTATGTTGTGGCATGCCTCCATTGCCTGATGAGGAATACAGCAAATTGTTCACACCCAAACTGTGGTGCAGGCCAGGGTGTTCACCATTGTGGTACCGAGCATCTCTACCTGCTGGGTGCCCTGGTGCTGAGAAACTTCCAGGCTTGCCTTCATGGAGTACAAAGCCACCTTGTGGCTGGCAATTATAGGAAGCAGGCTGTGAATTCTGCATCAGCATTTGTTGCCTGCATTGGGAACAGATGTCACATTTGCATACAACCAATTGGGAA